TAAGTTCCAAATCGTACAAGCTGTCGCGTGTAATTCTGTCTGGCCTCAAATTAGGGTTGCAATGGAGTTTGGACATATGTGTCCCACGCGAAAATCCGTGTGAAAAAAAATGTCTCACGGTTTTTTCAATAATATGCGGCAGGTTCTTTTCTCATTTCTCCGCGGTCGCAAAACAACCCCTTCGGCGGCCGGCATTATCAGTTACTATTATCAATTGTTATTATTATTGGCGAACAGGTCATTTTCGCGGACCCGTACGTCCGTGGGAATCCCTCGGCCGTCTTTTAAAAATACAGTAGTACCTATACACACGCGTGAATTGCAACTATACCAGACACAATATAATAACATAAACGACAACCCTTTTGTACACATTGTATATGATGATATAAAAAGAACCGTGTGGCTATCGTCCGGTCGGACGCAGCTATATTCGACCAATACACAATATAGGCCGAGTATGTACCGCGTGAACGCCACCGCCACCCCCGCGGTGATCGCCGTGGGAACTGCTACCTGAAGAAGAGGAGACGACGGTGTGTATAAATATAATATAGAAAAAGAATCTTATAACATTATTGTTGTATGTACACCGGACGGCGGCTACCGTTATAATAAAATATTATGTGCGGATTATGGCAAGCGGCGCACCTGCAAAACAGCACCGGTCGCCCCCGCTGCCATTACATTATATGTACACCACTTATCATACGACTAAATAATAGTAATTACCTATATTTAATTTTTTTTATTCCGTGCAAATTTACCACGTTATGCTGTGCGTAACGTAGGTACAATCGGTCATAAAAAAAAAGAAAAAAACCATACACAATAACGTATGTAATATTATTATAATGGGAAAACACAAACTCCGTTCGCGGTCGTAAATCGAATAATCCAAATCGATAATAATAATAATTATTATTATTATTATAATAAAAAAATGCCGGTCGTGTTCGCGATGATTGTTCTATACCTTATCGGCGCGTGTGCACCGGCGTTTAATTTATTATATTATTATTATTGCCGTTGTGTATTGTGTGTTGACAATAATAATAACTATTTTAGTTATTCTACAATAAAAAAAAAAAAACAATTATTTCTCAACACAGTTCGCGACACGTCCGCTCGTTTTTATTTTTTATTACCGCGGTCGAGGCGCACACATGCAACGTGTACGGTCGAGCTTGTGTCTGCGTAAAACCTAACCTAACCAGTTGATCCATAAGGGCGATTGCTATCTATGTATTGCTTGGATTGTCACCATAATTATATGTATATATATATATATCGGCAGAGCTGATGCCGGATCGAGATGTGTGGCCGCGCCGTTTAGACTATACTCGCTACCAGGACGAGAAGGGGTGTGGGGGACGTTGTTCTATAATAATTTTTACATATATATATATATATATATAAATAAATTGTACATATTATATATTTTATGATCGATCGGGGCGCAGACATGGACGTCGAGATTCAGATCAAGAAATCCGGCCTCAAAGTTCCATTAATTCGCATAGTACGATATTATATATATATGTGTACAAAAAAAAATAATATAGAAACTATAACGTCACCAGTGCATCGGACCAATTTGTGCCACACGATTCCATACTTAGGGGGAACAAATCGAAAACCGCCGCCTCCTCGTTCGGTATCGGTTGTATTAAGGCGATAATCTTAGCGGCGTTTGGCGTCCTTGGCGGCAAAAATTATTAATCTCGCCCCGGCACGTTGCCAACTAGGCGACGGCGGACCCTTTTATAATGTGTAGTATATATGTGTGTAACTGTATACAACGTTGGATCGTAAAAATCCGGCAATTACATCGGTTTCAATCGACTCGATACACACAGTAGGTAGGTATATAGTAGCTGTTATACAGTGCACACTATGGTAGTTGTATGCCTATGTGGGAAACCAATCGTTTATCGTACCGTCGTTTTGGCATACCTACCTATGGGTACGCTGTCCGCGAATTTTCCAACACGGAAAAGTGTCTATAGTGTTGTAAATATATATATATATAGGTTGGCGACGGGTTCAATTAAGTCCTGAGGGACAAATAGGTGGTAAAAGCCGAGGCGGAGGGGCGCGGGAAAGTAAAAACCGTCCCGAGGCCAAAAGTTTGACGAAGTGTTGTGTTTTTTTTTTCGCTGCAAATTCACAGTCTATCTGTCTCTCTCTTTTTTTTTGTCGTTTCGGTCTCGTGCTCGGCTCAGGTCCCGCGGGGTCAGCTTTGGCGTCAATCGAATTAACCAATAAAAACCGACCCTTTGGGCTGTGTACAGTTAATACGGGTCACCACCGTGTGTATATACATGTGCGTTTGTTCTAATCGCGTTTACGCCGTATACATTGCGCCTATAATATTTTGTAGTAAAGGTTCTGTACGCGTACAGAGTGAGAGGTACACACATCCAAGTGTATAGTAAGGAGAGGGCGAGGGGTGGGGGGGACGTGTACGGACAAAGCGCGTGCGATAATTTTACCTGACGTCGCCTCGGGGTTTACACAGTTTGGCCGCTGTGGCTATAGATCAAAACGCCAACGGGCCAACGTCAAACAGCTGTGTATACCCACCGTGCAAAGCACAACACCCGAATCCGTGAAAAAACAAAACAGGAAAAATTAACATTGACATTTTTTAAAACTGAAAAAAAAAAAAAATTCAAATTACACCGAACCCGCGGTCGCCGCCATTTTTGTATATCGAGTATTATTGTCTTAGTCGAGCCCGCAGCCCTCAAACACCTTTTATTATACATATTTTATGGACTTTGCAATTGAAAAATATGTCTAACAATGTATGAGACGAGTGACGACTGCGTTTCCGCAGGGTGGTTTATCTATTCTAACGCGACCAAACGATTTCTTTGGCAAAATATTATTGCAAGAACAAAAAAGATACCCGTGTATTTTATTTGTAAATTCGCAACGCTGTGTTGAGATAATAAAACATGTATAATATAAGAGAGCGGCGGACCGAGAGAAAGTACACACGCACAAGTACATTACGATTGTGTCATGGTGGCCGCACCGGTGTGTATCTATCGTCCGCGTGTACACGAGATCCATAAATGATTGATCGATCGATTGACCGGCTCTGGATCTGGCGATCAATCACATATAAAGCATTACGCCGCGCGTATAATATGCCTATATACATATTATTATTGTTATTGCGATAGGAAAAAAAAAGCAAAGATCTAGAAGTAAGTGTACCTACTTAATAAGCAGGAAAACAAAAACAATGGTCATTATTGTTGTAAAAAATCATAACAAATCAGGTTGCAAAAATCATATGCCATATAGCCGGAGAGCGTATGTATAGGGAGGCACCGAAAGCAAATGTTTCTCCAGATATCTTTCACACAATATATTGTGATATTTTTCATCAATACAATATATGGGTACTGCGCAATATACATTTTAGATTTACCAAAAAAATAGAATCAATGTCAGCTGTATAGTGTTCATAGAGCGCCTCTTGAAATAAACTTGTGTCTATAAACATATAACACATCCCTCTTTCCGGTTTTTGACATGCGTTTTGGGGTTGAAACAGACAGCGACGAGTACTGCACACAGCTTGTGCTATATTACGTGTAGAATTTTTTCTGGCGATATTTTTTATTTTTCCACGTGCAATAAAACGCGCGTCAACAGGTCCCCGGGGTCCGGCAACGTTTTTCGCGGGGAGGGGGTGCGTCTTGACCCCTGGGCGTTGACCAACACTGACCGGATGACCAATCGATCGGACCAATGGATGACCACCGGGGCGGATGTACACACGGGGTTTGCCCGGTCCAACGCAGATGTTTCCTACCCCACACGGACGGGCTACGGGCCGCACCCCACGCCACATTACATATATTATATTATATACCCCCGGGATTTTCACCGTATCACATGTGTGTGTGTGTGAAATATAAGCGCGCATAGTGTCCATTAGACCCATTTAAACCGTTTGGCGTGAAGTGAGAGAGACCTAGTCCGAGTTTTTCATTTATATTATATATATATATATATGTACGTCAAACGCACGCACGTTGGCCACTTTTGTTACTCCGTACACACCACACATAATAATAATATTACTTTATACCCACTTGGCGTGTATGTATATATATATATGTATATTCTATAAAGGTCTTCGGTCTGTGTGTGTTTGTGTTTATTGTTGCGACGACGTCCACCGCAGCCCGATAAACAATACACACTCCGCGCTCGTTCAAAACGATTAAAAACTATTAGCGGAAGGGACGCGAGCGTCTGTGATCCCTGCAAAACGACTAGCTGTATCGATTACACGGTCGACCACATATTATATATTAGCACGTCGCTTTGATCATGTCGGGTAAAATCAGAATTTTTGTATACCAAAACTTTTTGTTTGTTTGTTTTCTGATAAACTAGCAGCTTTCAAACGGACACGCAGGTATACATGAGTTTGATCGGCACCGCTCGGTTCTTAGTCACTGTTACTATATTATGTGTTATGCTGCTAACAGACGTCTCGACTATTGGCCAAACGAGATCATCTCTTTAGTGTTTGTGGCTAATATATATTTCTGACATTAACATTGAGTCATATATATATATATATAGATAAGCGCCGCAGCGTATGCGCCCTCGCCGAGTGCGCGACCCTTTGTGCGGCCTAAACTAATTTGCGACCGCACACACATTCGGTTATTACTTATTTTTCTATGCGGACGTTTTCACATTGTGTTGGGGGCACGATTGAAAAAAAGCAAGCGAATTTGGGGGACAATCGACGGTTTTTATCGGTTTTCATCATTAATATCCCGGCGGGCGGGTGAGTGGCGCGCAGGATGTACAACTGTTTTGTCCCACAAAATGGAAGTGACCCCTATGCGTATTATTATATGATCGGTTTGGCCGATGTCGTATGATAGACGAGAGCACTTAAGCCGTCGTACATGGTATATACCGCCATCGCTAATCGCATTGGTTTTTTTGTGTGTTCACAGCGGATACGGACATGACGCAGACAGTCGGCGGAACCGACCAGGACCTGCTGACCTGCGGACAGTGTCAAAAAGCGTTCTTGCTGTCCGACATTTGCCGGTTCGTGCAGCACAAAGTGGCCGGATGCGGCAACAAGGAAGCCCTGTTGGCCGACCGCAACAGCGGCGGCGGCGACGACAACAACGGACTGACCGACAACGGACTACAACAGCCCGGCGGCGGCCGACGGTTGTCCGTCAACAACAAGAAACAGCAACCGCAGTCGCCACCTCTGCCCAACGACGAACACGCTCCGGAGCGTTCGCTGCCGTCCAGCACGCCGAAACGGACGTCGACGCCGTCCAACGGCGATTGCAACAGCGAGCACGAGGACGACAACAAGCCGTCCAGGACGAAACAGGAGTCCGAGTCGTCCGACGACCTGGCCGCCGGCTATCACAAAAAGTCCAACCGGTCGGCGTCGTCGTGCGCGGACGCCGAGTCCAACACCACCAATTCCGGTAAGTCTAAATATTATTGAGAAACGATATTGTTGTTGTTGGTTTTTTTTTTATCGGCGCGACCGTTCGCCGTTTGTAACGAGAAATCTTCTTTACCGCAAAAAAACCTTTGTCGAAGGTATATTTTCATATTAGATAATAGTGTAAAGTTTCACGAGCCTCGTTGATGGTATATTTTCATATTAGACAATAGTGTACAGTTTCACGAGCCTCGGGGCGCTAAGCTTCTATATAATAATATAATACCCGTCGATTTTATTTTATTTTTTTATATTGGAAAAGTTACGCAATCGGTTTCGAATTCAGAGTTTGAAAATTTAAATTGAAAACTCATATTATTATGTATGCGACTCCTCCGCGAGGCACTTGCGAATTACTGTATCGAGTGTTGTTGCCCCGCAGCCTATAAACAAGCGAAGATGTCGGTCGGAAAATCAAAACGGTAAATGAAAAAAAAATGTAACAGCCGACGAAAAGTTAATAATCTCGCGCAAACAGAGGGTGGAGAATTTGCAAAAATAAACAATATTCACTCCTCTAATCACAGTATTAGGTACACCTACCTATATTTATGGCCAGGGTGTCGGTATAGCGCAGGTACTATGCACATACATTATTACTTTTACTGCGCATTTATAACCGCGTTAACTATTATATGTGTACAAATCAAATGTACAATATCGTCCTTCGACGCCCGCCGTGCACAACATACTCGAACAGTACCTACAATATAATCGTTTTGCCTTCGGTGACTTTCATATATTATCGCCGACGGTCGGTTGTTCAGACTTTATCTCATATATTGACTTGAATCCGAGATAAACTTTTATCGGCGGCGGTACACGATTTTAGCGCTATGCATAACATACAGGCTTAGGGGGGGGGCAGGGGGGTAAGGGCTGTGGCGGTTTCCAGATGTCATTTTCGGCCGATGGCGGCACGCATATAAAAGGTCGTTGATTATGTGTCGTGTGATGAGTCGTACGCGCACCGGTCCCGGAGTTTTCTTTTTACATTGTTTGCCTCCCTCCGCTTGTTCCGTTTACCGTGTCCGGTTTAGGAGTGTGCGACAGACGAGGCGCAACGAACCGCAAAAACAGTGTCTATGTGTGAGTTTATAATGTTTAAGAAAAAACGTCGGCAAAGTGGCAAATCATTAGGCCGTCGGGCGACCGCGACCCGAGTGTTTACTCTTCGGTTCATCGGGTCCGCCAGAGATTTTCTTTCGGTCAATTACAACGCAACATTACTTTTATATTATACGTTTATACACAATACCGTCGCCTCGGTAGATGTTTAAAACGTTACACACCCACCCAACACACCGGACCTTGTCTGTACCACCGTCGTTCTGGATGGGCGACAGATTTTAATTGCATCCTCGGCGGCGGTGGCGCTCGGTTGGGCGTCGAATACGCGGCGTGATGATAAATAATAGGGACTAGGATAACGTCCTCGGGATTCTTTGCACGCACCGCACCGTCGTCGTCGTCGTTCATGGGAAAACTTTGGTTTTTCTGGATTATTCGACGGACGCGTTTAACGGCCGAGTAACCGTCAATAGCCGGGCAGGACACACGGGCGACGTTTGGCCGACACGCGCGACGGGGAGCGCAAATCCTTTCGAATTAGAAAAAATACAAAAAATAGCGTGAACAAAAAAAATAAAAATAAAAACCTAACCGAAAAGAGCGAACCCGGGTCACAGCGTAAAACACCCCTCGCGCAAACCGTGCAACGATATTGGCCCGACTAAAATTATGGACCATAATTATTGGTAGGTATATTTCTAATTGGAATAACACTAAACGTTGTTTAGTTGACCGCACTAAATGTGTATACGATTCAACTAAAAATTTAGTCGGGCCAACTATTAGTAGTTAGTTATTCCAACTAGAACTGTAATGTGTCCCTATATTAGCCATACAGTTTTGGTTGGGCCAACTTTGCAGTTGATTTCAGTCGGTTCATTTCGGTTCTGCTGTTTGTCTAATATGCTTTTCGGGAGCCGCTAAATAAAAAAAAACCGGTCGACGTCTCACCCCTTTCGATTATTGCCCATTGTCCACTGTGCCTGTGCCGGACTCCCACAACTGGCTTGGTACATTTCACCCTTTTTCCCCCGGCGGTGGTAGTGTATACCTATTGCGTCAACAACAATAACACAGCGTTTATCGGACCGTGAACTGTGCGCGCTTATAACATAATAATACAAGGATTAAAATAAAATAATAATAATAATCGCGCGTGTCCGTTAAGTTGCAGCGTGCGCTTGTATCGGTCATCGTGCGATGACGATTAGGTATTATTTCTATATATATTGGACCCCCGTTTGTTAAACGATTGTGATGCATTTTCGCCTTCGCGTACCGTGAATATAATATAGTGATTGATATTAAAAAACGTTACAGCCCGAGGGCTTCCCACGACACGGCGGCGGGTCACGAAGCCCGAAGGACGATGCCAATAGGAACCCAAGTATATATAAGTACCTACCACATACACATGCACCGACGACAGCGCGGTTGCGCATCGTTTCGTCACTCTCACTCTCTATAACGCACTAACGACTGTACACACACACACACACACACCGACAATAAAATGCATCCATCTACATATTATTATATACAAAACAGTAGAACGGACAGAAGATATAATAGCTGTTCACCCGTTCGTAGAACAATATTCCTAATCGTGTCAGGGACGGATCGAGCGCGCGACAGTTTTCCCGGAATCGTTTTTTCATATGATAATTTTGCCGGAAAATATTATAATTATTACTATTTTTCAATCGCCGCCGCCGTACCCACGACTAATACTGGTCACGAACGGAAACGCTGAAAAACGAAAATCTTTTTCTTCTTCTTCTAAACGCTCTCATAATGTACAAAGTGTGCGTCGTTGTATCTATTGAACTCCCCCGCGCTCGACGAGAAAAATTTGAATATCAAAGTAATTAAAAGAAGAAAAAAAGCGACATTAATAATAATAACGTTAAAAAATAATACCAACGGCCGAATAATATATATATACAGTACTGTGTACGGCTTATGGTCGCGCGGCACTGTGTCGTGTAATCGGTGGGCGGACATTATAATATCATAGAGGCCAGCGGTGCATATTATAATATACAGTCACGGTCAGTATATATACACGCACACAACAAACCCGCAGTCTTTTTTTTCTCTACAATAATAATAAAATAATAACATCATCGTCAGACTGTGTACGGTTCTCATAATAACCGTAAGAATTAGAGACACCCACGCCACCCTCCGCGTCCGCCGGGTCGACCGGACGCTGTGATTTTCGTACTTAAGCGCGTGCCAAACGACCGTGTCTTCTTCTGCCGGCCGGTCGGGGTGGACTTGTAAAAAAAAAAAAAGTAACAATTAAGTACACGTTTTTTTATAACAATATCATAACATTATCAACGACCCCGTCCGAGTAAGCGCATGTACACCGCAAGTACAATATTATATTATTTTCTACTATGTAATAAACGTATTGCGAATATTTTGAAATCCGGCGAAAATCGTGTCGCGAAAGGCGTGCAATCGACTTGTACATTATTATTAAACGTTGCGCGCTGTGCACTATGAAGAAGAGTCGTGAGACAGGTTCATATATATACATAATATACACTTTCTTCTGTAGGCACCGTTTCTCCACGGCCGTTACTTCACTTACCGTTTAGCGTGGCTGATCTACATTTGATTGGGCACAATTATCGAAAAACAAAATCGTAGGCTACGCAAGGCCCTTGGGCACACATAGTTTAAAGGGGGTCGTTTGAGAAAACTTAAAGATGCGAATTGTATTGTGGGCTAGTAAAGACGGAACTGAAAACCCGCTCGATTTCTGTACTTGTACTTGTCAGCTCGTCCGGCCTCTGTCATTGTATACACAATATAAATCATATTATATTGTACAATGTGACTTTTGCGCCGTCTAGGGCCTAAATTAAATATATCGGATAGATCCCCGTTGGACGGCGGGGCGGCGGCGGCGGCGGCAGATGCAGTAGAGATATATCGAAAATGATCTTTGTATAATATATTTAATAATAAAAATATGTATGTATAAATAGGGAAAAATGAATATTATCGAGGCCTGGTGTCCGTCACAGCTGTGTGTCGACCGACGTACATATTATATACCCCCCGGTATTATTCCAAATATATATATATATACAATATGCATATGGGGTAAAAGGGTTGCGCATATGCCGTCGTCTAAATACGCTCTATATTAAAGTGTATAGGTATATTTATATACATATATAGACAACGGCCGTCGACGGGGTGCACAGGTAATTTTATTGTTATTATTTTTTTTTTTTTTGGGACAGCGCGCGTGCCCTTTGGGGTAGTTTTTCGGGAACGGGTCGAGTATATACCGTTTCGAGATACGGGCTGAAAATTCCAATCTATACAATAATGTGTAATTTTCTGTGAATATATATTGTTGTAAACATGCCATGTCCATATGTCGTCGTCTGAGGCGTGGACGAGCCACTCGTCGACCTGCTGAGCGGCACGCCGGCCAATCGTGTCAGATTAGAAAAATTATACTTGTAGATTTTGTGTTATTTTGACTTATAACAATTATAATACACGTTAAGTATTACCGGCAATTATTATGTTATTGGATCCACGTGATCCGCTTACGGTCGATGCGTGTTCGTCGAAATCGTTTGTGTTTGTGTGCAAGTTGTTGTTGTTAATCATTTCTTTTTTAGAGAGACACAGATACCAGGATCGACCACCGCCGCCAAGGGTCGACCCGCATGCAAAACAGGTCGTCGCGATAAAAACCCTGAAATTTACTGCCCGGATGACGGCTAACACAGATTGTCCATAAAGCTCGGGAGGTTTTTTTTATTATTAACATTTTTTTTTTTTTTTTTTGAAAAACCTTAAAAAGCTTAAGAGGGTCCCGCCGCGAGATAACCCACGTAGTCGTCTCATTGTTCCTCGGGGGTCCTTTTCTTCTTTGTGCATAACGTTATCTCGCCGCAGTATATATATATATATATATTATTTATGTATATAAATGTCTCCGCGTCCACTCGTGGCCGGCGCCGCGGCCGTGATGAATGCGCATAGTAATGATAATAACAAAGATAATATATATATATATATATATATAAATTGTATATATTTTATATAAATAGATTTTTGCCGAGAGACGCGCAAGTGCTTAACGGCCACCAGGAAAGGGGGAATAACAACTTATATGTATAGTACTCTGACGTGTATCGTGCTCGCGCAAAAACAGTGTTAGAATTTGCATATTTTGAAAATGATAAAAAGGTCCCGTGGCCCGTAAAACGACGACAGGGACGGTCTGCTAGATTTAGACCCGGTCAAAGATAGTATCACGTCTTATTCATTCATAATAATATAGTGTTGATACTTTAAAAACGCATATTTTTTTATAGCGTTTATGCTTTTTTGTCAAGCAAATTGATTTTTTGTACAATAAATTTGCACATAGACTTGTCCAGTTAATACATATATGGTGCATGATAGTATTATACTTACTTCTGGCAATTAAATATCGATTAGGTTATTTCTTTTTGTTTATTACCACTAATTATTGTATATTAAAATACATAACGGTGTATGCGCGAACCGGACAGGCCGCTTGGCGGGGACAATATGATTTTTTACATGTTTTTTTTACATATATAATATTATTGTTGTACGGCGTGTGCGATAAACGATCGGCAGGTTTTCTGATTTTTAAGTTTGGCATTCGAGTCACGCGCGGTCCGGCCCGGGAATTTTGCATAGCGCAGTTTTTTTTATTCTATTTTTTTCAATAATATCCTCTTTTTCTCGTCCGGGTCCGGTCATAACCGCCCAGCACGCGCGTATACGCCATCCGGCAGCTCATTTACACGCTGTTGTATAGCAGCAGCAGCAGCAGCAGCCGCCGCCACAAATATTGTGTTATATTATCTTTTTACACCGAACATCTTTGGCCGGAGGGAAAAAAAACAACGACAACACTCCGCGGCTTTACGGTGGATTATGCGGATACGGCGGTCGCATTACCACCTACTCCCCTCGGGTCATTTAAAAATGTAAACTCATATAATATATATATTGTGTATGGGGTGCGAATTGGCGTTTCCCCGTTTTAATGAAATTTCTTCGGTCGGAGGGCAACATGTTTAGATTTTGAAAATATTAATTTAAAAAACAACAATCTCTGGAATCGTGTGCGATAAAAAGCCGCGTTGTTTTTGGCACTGAGACGAAATTTCGGTCAGCTGCGTCCGCGGTGACCCTTTTCGATTGTTGTAATATATAAATTCGTTCTCCGTCGCTTGCCTACACATATTATTGTGTATGTGAACTGTGAAGCCGGAAAACGGCCGTTATGCGTATACCCGTTGTCCGCACCGACCATACTCGCACTCCGCCCCTCATATTATTATGTTATGCTAGCTCGGCCGTCGAGTCCTTGTCGCACAAACCATTCTCGAGTCAATCATTTCTTGTTTTATTATTATTATAAAATATGTTTTTGTTTTTGCGCCGCACCGGCGAGTTTTAGGAATAATAATATAATTATTTTTCTCGTACCATTCCATTGAATGCGGCGCGTACCTATATACGGAACACCGTGTCCAGAGGTTTATTACGAAAATAGTAAATAATAATAATAATAAGAAAACAACGTGTCTTTTGTTCTATTATGTTATTCGAGAAAATCAATTGAAATAATTATGTTCAACGGGCGCGCGGTATGGGTTTCTTTTGATTTCTAATGAACCGCACACCGGACCTAAAAACGCGCGGCAGACGGTATTGTTTGCGTGCGCGCTTGTGTGTGTACGTTGACGCGATTGACCAATAGAAGAAAATAGTATAATAACTATGCACACGCCGGTGGTAATTCTAATCGAAACGTTTGTATTGTTTGTTCGCAGAGCCCAGCAGTTTCGTGTGTTGCACGTGCAAGGCGAGGTACAACTCGGCGTGGAGACTATTGCAGCACGCCCAAACATCACACTCGTTCAAGATCTACACGGACGGCACGCCGTCGCCCGTCTCGCAGTCCAAGAACAACACGTCGTGCTCGTCGCTGGGCTCGTCCGGATGTTCGAGCAACGCTTCGCTGCCGGGCATGTCGGCGCTGCCCTTGGCCCTGAGCATGCCGTCCAGGCTGAACCTACAACCGCCACCGCCGCCGCCGCCGGTACCGACCAGCATCAACAGCGGGGGCGCCCCGCCCATGATGGACCCCATGCCACCCATGCCGTTGCACAACCCTTTTGGTGTTGGAGGCTTGCTTAGGATGCCGATGGGCGAGCCTCCCCAGCGTCCGTCCCCGTTCCCCGGGACTTCACCCATCGGCAACCCGCCTTTGTTCGGTCGGACGCCTAGTCACCAGGACCATCAGTTTCGCATGGAACAGCTCATGTCCGAGCAGTTCCGCCTGAACCAACAGCAACACGGTCTGGGGTTCGCCGTGGCCGTAGCCGCGGCCAACGCCATGCCCACGTCCCCGTTCCCGGGGCTCTCCAACGATCGCGGTAACAATCCTCGGCTGCCGGCGCCCACGTTGCCGGCACTCAGTCTCGATCCGCAGATGGATTTTTACTCGCAGCGATTGCGGCAACTCGCAGGTACCACTAGCCCGGGAGCTGCTACTGCACACAGTTCGTCGCCTTCGCCGAGAAAAATGACACCACCATATAGCAGCCCCAATTCTACGACCGCTTCGGCCGCCATGGCCCAGCCGAACGCCGCCACCGCCGGTCTAAACAACAACAACAACAACAACAGCAACGTCAGCAACAACAACTCGATCGAGTCGGCGGCGGAACACGAGAGATCCGGCGACGCGTCCCGAAACACTTTGGACCTGTCGTCGAACGCCGTCAACAAGGAGAAGACAGCCGACATAAGCGACCAGCAGATCGTCTCCGAGGAAAAGACCCGAGAGTGCGAGTACTGCGGCAAAAAGTTCCGGTTCCAGAGCAACTTGATCGTGCACAGGCGTACGCATACCGGCGAAAAACCGTACAAGTGTTCGGTGTGCGACCACGCGTGTACGCAGAGCTCCAAGATGAAGAGACACATGAAAACGCATCGGCGGTCGAACCGGGGAAACGGGCTGGCCGGTGGCGAGCGTGGGACCGCCAATGGGGTGGATACGAGCTCGACACCGGATCTAACATCCAATGACGACGATGACGATGACTCCGAGCTGGACGATGACGACGCCGACGAAGAGGAAGAAGAGGAGGAAGAAGACGAGGACGAAGAAGAGGACGACGAGGAGGGCGACGACGACGAGGAGCACATGGAGCTCGAGGACGAAGACAACGACGAGAACGAGGGCGGTGACGTGCCCGAAGACCTGACCACAAAGTCCACGTCGTCGGCGGAACACGATAAGAAGCCCGGGCATTCGAACAACACGTCGCCCGAGAACCGTCCCGGCGACAAAGGAATGCCTCCCAACTCGCTGGTGGGCGAACTCATGAGCAAGTTCGGCCTGAGCAACATCCAGCAGTACAGCGAAGCGTATAAGCAGGCGCTCAAAGAGTCAGTGATCCCGCCTCAGTTTCGTGTTCGGCGCAAAGACAATTTCCGACTGTCGCCCATCATCAACGACAACAACAACGGTACCGTCAAGTCGGCCAACCCGTTGCGGAATCTCGACAACGGCCTTAGCGACAAGGCGGCGGCCGATTTGCGGTTCCGCGAAGAGTTCACCAAAAACTTGATCGCGGCCGGCCAGAACCCGCTGGACCTGATGGGCGGCCATCCGGGCATTTTCGGTCCCGGTTCGGCTTTCGAGAACCCGTTCGATCCCGCGGCCAAGCGGCTGAAGCTCGACCCCGACAATCCGCACCATCCGCTGCTGAATCGAGACCGACTGTACACGGCCGGCATGTCGTGGTTGCCGGCGTTGGCGGCGCACCATCGCGGCGAGTCGTTCCTGGGCGTGCCCGGGGTGGGCGACCGGAACAAGTCGTCGTCGGAACCCGGAAGCGGCGGCAACGGCGGCAGCGGCCGGTCCAAACCGGGACCCAGCTCGCTGTCGGCGGCGCTCAACTTGGGCCTGCAGGGTCACATGAAGAAGGAGTCGCGCCGTAACGACACATGCGAGTACTGCGGCAAAGTGTTCAAAAACTGCAGCAACCTGACCGTGCACAGGCGGTCGCACACCGGCGAAAAGCCGTACAAGTGCGAGCTGTGTTCGTACGCGTGCGCCCAGAGCTCGAAGCTGACCAGGCACATGAAGACCCACGGCCGGCTCGGCAAGGACGTGTACCGGTGCCGGTTTTGCGAGATGCCGTTTTCGGTGCCGTCCACGCTGGAGAAGCACATGCGCAAGTGCGTGGTCAACCAGAACATCAAACTGGAAGGCGGCCAGTACATGAAAATGGACGACGGTTCCAAATTGGACTCGGCCATGAAGCTGGACAGCAGCTACATGATCCAGTCCATGATGGACGACGAGTCGTACAGCAGTTCCGTGTCCAAAGACAACACATGACTCTTCCCGTGGAGGGGTTTCAGCCCCCTCCCCGTGCAGAGCACATACTGACGAGTGTGTACTCCTCGACGTTCAACTTACATAATACATTAAAATACATATAATATAATGCGTGTGCGTGTGTATTATCATTTATATATATATATACAACATAGATCTCGAAAACACATTTTTATTTATAAAATATATTATTATTATTATTTTTTAATCGGACAGTTTTAATGTTTAGTTACCGTACATATATATATATTTTTTTAAGTACTATCGACTCCCAAACTGTCTTCAACCCTCCTTTAGGTCTGGTGTAAATATAGTTTTCCCCGTCTTCCTCTGACTGTTGGTAAGGCTCAAACGGCGTTTGATGTTATTATTGTTTGTTTTTTTGTTTTTCGCTCACCGCCCCCCCAAAAAAAAAAAAAAAACCAGAACGTACCATTCCATACGTGTAGTATTATTATATACGCTTGATCTCCTCGGACCGGCAAACTCGGAGAGTCCTTAGGATATAATAATATATTGAACTGTTCTGTCATATCATTCCTACGGCCAAGACGTTTTTTTATCGTTTCATCCCAAAAATGTTAATTAATATAAATAATAATTTTGTGCGACACGCACGAGTTGGATTTTAATAGAGAAATTAATAAAAAAAAAAAATAACATATGACATTCCCAAAATTGTTGTAAATATTATCAAACCCCCCTGTCGAGCGCGCGTTGGTGTAAATATATTTGATATAAAATAATAATCTAAGTACAAACGTTTTTTTTTTTTTTTTTTAATTATAAGTTTATAGTGGAAAAAATATAATAATATTATACTAAAAAATAAAAAAGTGTTTCGGTTTTGTCCCAAATAATGATTATTAGTAGGTACTGTAGTTTTTTTTTCAGTTTTTTTTTTCAATTGTTATCATATTATATTCGTTTTTGTTCTGTTGGAAATGCAAGTTATTTCCAACTAAAACGTGTTGTAAATTCGGTTTACGTTTGACTAGTCTGTTATTTATTATTTTATTATTATAATTACTATTACTATTACCTACTATTATTATTATTTTTATCATTATTATTATTATTATTATTATTATTTGATTTAATTTTACTATTCGTCCCAAAATCTAGCAAAAAAAAAAAATAATAAAATAAAAACCACACACACGACCAAAAAAAAAAAAAATAAGAAATGAAAAACTTTTAAATCAATTTTAATTGATACTATTAAAATTAAAAAGTAAACGGCGATTTAACGCTCACTAAATGTTCCTCAATTTAATTGTAGAATTATTATTATTATTATTATTATTATATTCTTGTGTACGGATTTTAGTATGTAAAAACGGTATAATTTATAAGACCTATATAATATGATATACGTGTAATAAATTTATATAGGAAAATATTTTACCTAAGTAAAATTGTAAGTTTTATTATTAATATAATATAATATTAATTATTATTGACTGTGCGTTTGGTTTAACTTGTTATTATTATTATTATTATTATTTGATTAGTGTTTCGTCCGCTCGCTGTTCTTGTATCTATTTTTGTTTCGATATTAATATTTTGTCGATGGCGTTTTCCCGTTTCTAGTACAATTATTATATTATTATAATATACCTATTATTTTAACCACCCCCCCCCCCCTAACGAGGCTGCTGTTTTTTTTCGGTTTCGAGGTTCGACGCTTATTTAAATTAAAAAAAAAAAAAAATCAACTCATCCGAAGACCGCACGACCAAAAGCCATTAACGGTTATGCGATAATAATATATTCCGTACTTAACTAAACGTGTCGTTTTTTTTTTTTGGTTTTTCATACTTGTCGGTGCGGCCTCTCGGATTTTGATCTCCGACCGTCGAAAATCGAAACTCGAATTAGCGACCGGCCGCCATACCTATATTTTTTTGCTATACACCACACTCGAAACAACACTATCATTATTCTACACACGTTCCATTTTTTTTTCCAAATAATATTATATTATTATATTTTTTACAAACTCTTGGATTCATTTGTCGCTGTACATTTATTCTATACAACTACATTATACTTATGATATGTATACAAATTTAATACATATGAATTTTTTCATCTCGCGTTTACTATTTTTTGTTTATATTATACATAATAAAAAAAAAAAAATTAAACATATATATATATATATATTGTACGCATATACAACGATTGATGTACATAACCTGTAACGGATATTGAAATGATTTGTTTAGAAATATTATTGTAATTATTGGTTTTAATATACAAAAAATAAATAATGTATATACACATGTATATATTATATATATATAATTGTGTATGTACAATATTATGTTATATGCGTAAATCATAGACTGTGTTCATTTATTTTTGGTCTCCTTATCGCCGCTAAGATTATATAGCCGCTGCTAATAAAACCATAAGGAAGGATATATCCAAACAGCCGAGTGATCGATAGGTGGTGGCACACGAACATCCGTTGACACAACTTCAAACGATATGTGTGTGTGTGTGTGTGTATTTGCCAGAGGCTGAATAGCCCGTGTACAACAATTGATATTAATACATACATACATAATATAACAACATATCTACACAATAAGGCGTCGTATTAAGACGAGTGACGACGTGTGTCCGTAGAGCACATTTATATAAGCTGTCCTGTTTGTGTTATAAGCTCTGATCCGATCTGTCCACATAGTATGACAATAATATTATTAGTAGATATTATATTATTATCTTGTCTAATACCCGAGTGTGCCTAAGAAAATAACAATTTTTCTATTATGGTGTAGGTGTATACCGTCAGCATTGTTACCGCTGACTACGTTTCGCCATTTATAAAAAAAAAAAACCATACTGGTATTGCGGTTTTGGTGGCATTACACACGCCATTGGATACATATAATATACTACAAGTCTACAAAACACAAGTACACTCCGCCCCACTCTAGCATAATATATTAAGCTATTGCTGTATTGCAATGAAAATATGTTAAAAACAATTCCGGGCGAATACAGATAATCACAAGGCAAAACCAATAAAACAGTATTGTGGTTATTTTGTTATTTTTTTTTTAAAAATCTAAGACAATAACACTTGTGTGCCTGCACAAAAAAAGAAAACAGTAACGTGCGCACAGGTTGTAAAAATGTATTTTAATACACGAGCTACGATGTGTGTTTTCGAGTACAAACAAATCGCACGGCAAACACACCGAATGTTTTGTCCTGAATATTGTATTTGTTTAAAATGTTTTTTTAATTGTTCAAGTTTTTGGAAAACAACAAAAACCCGGTAGCTAAGTACAATCATTTCTTATCCACGGGATCCGTCGCAAAATATAAAATAAAATCAACAACCTCGACGCCATTATTGAAATACATTTTTATCATTACATTTATTTCGTGCTAATATCGACTAGTGGGAGATCACAGGCGTATAATATGTATTTTTAGTGTTAGGCAAAATAAGGGAACAAAATTACTTGACCTTACTCGGTTGGGTCGGATAAAAGACACGGTAGGCTAAAACGTTAAAGCGATAAACGATCATTTATGTATTATTAATTATAACATATAAAAAGGCCACCCATTTGAATGTAGGTACTAAATATGTATTAATATTTAATATGTATATTTTCTCGGTAAATTATGTTGTATTTTTATATGCCAGGTAAAAAAACTTTGATGTGTACAAAAAAATAAAATCATAAATAATTAAGATATATATTACAGGCGATCCGATATGACGAACCGGACCCAAACGAAACCGAAATAACATTCTGAGTAATTCTGAGTAAACCAAATATTATGTTATAATAAGCGGAGTCACTTAGTTTGTTCGATACTGTAGTTGTACCTATAGCTAGCTGTTGTAATAATACTGAAATAATCTGCTGAATTTATCTCGACATAATAGTATTATTATAGGTGTATATTAGGCGGCTTAAACAACACGTTCGTATTATTATTATTATTACCGACGCGGGCATTCTCTAGGCAGCGCTAAAACTTTAAAAAGGTAATACTGGGTATAAAAAAAAAAGGAGTACATGCATAAAAAACAATAGAGCTGCGATACACAATAATAACAAGGGGGGAAAGCGTTGAGCGTAATGTGTTTGTGTGGAACATTTGGTTTTTTGATGTATTGTGGACGCTCTGTAGCGTTTGTTTAGTCCGTTTTTTAATTTTTTTTTTAGCGTTAAGGCCGGCACTTTATACGGTCGGTACGCCGGGGGAGCGTGGTGGAGACGGAGATCATGACGGGAGTCCAGAGCAAATACATGTGTTCTTTACACAAACACACCAGAAAATATTATGTATATATTTCACCTATACATGACGTCCAAGCGGCACATGTGTACGGCTTGTGTGTACCTACATGCAAACGCGTGTCTGGGGCCAGTACACTTAATTATTTTTACAGCCTTTTTTTTTTTTTTTTTGGTTATAATTTCAAGTGTACGACTTAAAAATTTTTCTCTCTATGCATATTATATGGAAAATTCAAAATTGCCAACCGAAACTTGCGTCGTCGCTCCGTGCACAAACGTTTTAATACCAGTGGCCTGTACGAAAAATGTATTCATTACAGGCGACTACTGCGACTTCTCCATAATCATAATATTAAATAGATACACTAACGAAAACAATCGCAATAAAACAATCGGTGGTAAAAAAAATTGTACAAAATGTGTGTAATTTTTTTTTTATAATACCAAAACTTATAATTTATAATTATGATAATAAAATATAATATTCATATTTTCATAGTCTTAACAAAACGATATTAATATAAAATATTTATTAAGGCGTTAATTAATTTTATAGAATGTTAAAAAAAAATTGTCCTGGTATATAAACAATTAAGAACAATAGTTCTTTATAATAATATACAATAAAAATCCTACGCGATTATTAAAGATGTAGTTTTTGGTCGTGTGTGGGACTTTTGAAAATTCAGATTTACAAAAAACAAATGATGCTATTGTTGTCAAATCTTAAAAAATGCGATACAAAAATGTAAAAAAAAAAAATAGTATTAAAACAATTGCGAATGCTAATTAATGAAATTATTTGCAGTTTTCCTTGTTTTATAGATTTCCTCATTCGGTTGTGTCGTTTTAATACATTTTTTTTACAAACATTTTTCAAAATACAAATCCACAAATGTTATCCGAATTGAGTAAGTATTATTAAAACTTT